TGTATTTCATGATTGTTTATACTATTCTGAAATAAAATTAATGACTCATAAATGAAATATCAAATAGATGGACTACTATATAGTTTTTTAAATCATAATTATGTGGATTATGTAGTAATGTGGGAAAATTTTATTTAATAAATGGAAAAAAGACTACAAACTTCTGCATATTCTGGTATATGGATAAAGAAGACACTTTGATGATTTAAAATAGTGTATTAATGATGTGATTCAGGATGAATGATTTAGCTTCAGAAATTCCATTCTTACTGTTTAGCAATTGTATAATAAAAGATTGTAAAATTTTAGTATAGCTATATTAAGTATGTTATTGCCTATAAATGGTTTTATAAGTTATGTTTTCAGAGTTAACTCATACTTTCAAACAAAATCTGGCATGTTTCTGCAAATATAAGGATGTAGTTTACAAATAATAAGTCCTGCTTATAAAAAGCTAGTAGGTTTTTAGTTTGCCATGTAATGTCAGAATATGCATGCTATTTTGAAAACTCCTTGTTAAAAATTAAGAAAAGAATAATACTATAGAATGTAATTAAAAATAGGAACAAGCTTTATGTATTTAAATTTACTATATCATCCTAGATTAGTCCAGTGCAGAGTTCGTCTTCATTTTCAAAATGCGCATACTGTCTATGGCCATGCTACCCCGAACAAGCCCGATCCCGTCTGATCTTGGAAGCTAAGCAGGGTTAGGCCTGGTTAGTACTTGGATGGGAGACCACCTAGGAAGTCCAGGGGCTGTAGGTGTCAAAAATTAACAAATAAGGGATTGTAAGCTGACAAGATCCTTGCAATCTATGAGGTCAACCAAGGGTTGCCTTGCCTAAAACAAACAAACAAACAAAACACATATATTACAAACAGCTGAAACAGAATGAGTCTGTTAATAATTTTCATTTATGTATAAATTTGGCATATGTTTAATGGAGCATATTCAGGGAAAACCAAAATGTTTTTTTGAGCTTGTCTGTGATTGAATTAAGATCTTTGGTAACATAGGTTAGTTGGGTGAACATCCTTTATCTGTCAAATTAAGGTGATTCCAAAGAAAAACTGTAGTTTTCTGTAGTTCACAAAGTTGTGTTCTCTAAGTTTTGAAATTGCTAGGAATATGCTAATTTTCTCATTGCCTTAGGCAAAAATTTAGTAATTTATCCTGACTAACTATATGATGCTAAATTTAGTGAAGATGATCTTCGTGCAGTTTTAATTTTTTTTTAGTTATTTCTTATGATTAATACATGATTATACTCAACGGGCAAAACATTTTAATATAGTTTAAAGTAATATTGTACCAAGGTTTTCGCAAATAAAATTGTAAGCTATGTTTGTGAACTGAATATTTTTTATATTTGAATTTCAGCAGCTGAGAATAAATTATGAAGAAATATTGGAATCTGATATTATCAACAAAGGATTATGGTGTGACAAATTCTAATTATTCTAAGCACAGAGACACAACAAGAATAGAAAGTACAGAATAGAGGGTAAGATACAAAGGCAGACCTTAAACTTCTAAAAGGAGACCAAAGAGACAAGGTGAAAGAAATATTTGAAGACATACCAACTTAAGAATTTTTCAAAACTATGGAAAACACTATGCCATAGATTCAGGAAGCCACATAAACCAAAGAGCAAGATAAATGAAGAATCATGTAGTTTCATTAGAGTCAAACTGCTAAAAACCACTAACAGAAAATCAGAAATCATCCAGAGATAAAATTAGACTGCACCTGACTTCTCAACAGAAAGTAGAAGTCAGAAGACGGAAAGAAGTATCTGAAAAGTTCTAGAATAGAACTTATAATTCTTTACGTAGTAAAATATCTTTCAAGATTAAAGGTAAGGTAGATCTTTTTCTGAAAAACAAAAACAAGAGTGGCTTAGAGTGGGAGCTGGGGAGTCATCAGCCTATCGGTGGCATTTAAAGTTATAAAAGTAGACAAGATCAGCCAAAGTAAGTAGAGGGAAACCCAAAGATTCAAGATCGAACCCCCAACATTATGGTTCAACTTTACAATTTATTCATAGAACAAGGAAAGGTAGATTAAGTAAGAGATTACATAGCCTAGTCCATTCCTTTTAGAAATAAACTAAAACTATAAAAGGTGATTTTGTTGCATACTTACTGTATACCATGCTCTATGCTTAAATACTTTAAGAACATTATTTTCTTTAATACAGAAGTAATATACATTAATTCTAGAGTACGATGCATAAGAACTTGGGATCTAGAATTAGACTGTAAGGGTTCAGTTCCAGTTTTACTGGCTAATTCTGTGACCTTGGGTAAATTAGCTGTTCTAAATCTTAATTTCCTAAACTCTAAATTGGATTGTTGTAAGGATTAAATGTGATGATCCATATAAACACAGAGAACAAAAATATTAAGTGATACATTGATACTGAAATAGCCACTACAATTATTTCTCCTCTGTGGGTTTATTTCTCTTATGTCTCAATGGAGATTTTGTAGAATTTTGTTCTTTGTTAAATTTTTGAAGCATTAAATTGTGATAAAATATGAATAACAAAATTTCCCATTTTAATAATTTTAATGTGTACAATTCAGTGGCATTAAGTACACTCACAACATTATCTACCAACATACTGTCTCATTCCAGAGCTTTTTTCATTACCCCATACCCATCACTTCCTATCCCTCCTCCTTCAGCCCCTGGCAACTACTAATCAGCTTCCTGTCTCTTGGGATTTATATATTCTGGGTATTTCATATAAATGGAACCATACAATATGTGACCTTTTGTGTCTTTTTTTTTTTTTTAATTAAGCATACTATTTTTAAGGTTCATCCATGTTGTATCATGTGTCAGTACTTTATTCTTCTTTATGGCTGAATAAGATTCCATTGCATGGATAATACTACATTTTGTTTTTTCATCGGTTTAGAACATTTGAGATGTTCCTGGCTTTAGGCTACTATGAATACTGCTGGTATGAACATTCATGCACACGTTTTTGCTTGAATACCTACTTTAATTTGGGGGCGTATATACCTAGGAGTGGAATTGCTGTAATTCTGTGGTAATTCTGTTTCTAACTTTTTGAGGAACCACCAAACTTTTTCCCAGTGGCTGTACTATTTTGCATTCCCATCAGCAGTACACAAAGGTTCCAGTTTTTCCACCTTCTCGCCATCACTTATTTTTCCATTTTTTGTTTGTTTTTATGACCATCTTAGTGAGGTATGACTGGTATCTCATTGTGGTTTTTCACTAATTGTATTAGTGTCATGTTTACTGAATATAACAAAGAATTAAGGGAGAACTTAGAGCTTTATAATGCAAATGATGGACCTTATAACTATAGTACGTGGATAGAAAATTATTTTTTTATGGAAAGAAAATTATTCCCATGCACCAGGCTCTTGATAGGATGTCTTTCCAATCTAATAAATTGGGTGGTGTTTGATTTTTCTAAATTGTTGGGCATGATGTTAAATTACATGTTGTAACCACAAGTGCTTTTTGGAGGTTATGGGCTATATATAATAAAGGACATTAGGATTGGAGGTATCACCAGTGGGGTCATGTTGCTCTCTGTTCTCTTTCTTCCTCTTTTCATCTACAGTTGAGGCATTTTCCCAGTGTTCATCATGCCTTACTGACATTCTTTTTATTACATTTTGCAATTCAGCATACACTAGAATGAACCTGGCCTTTAGAATCCAATAGGACCATGTTGAATTCCCCTTCTACCTCATATCAACTTTATGACTATGGACAAGTCAGTTGACTGCTCTTAGCTTTAGTGGCCTTTACTATAAAATGGGGGATAATTCAAAGTTACATTGAAGAATAAATGATACTGTGCTCTGTATATGACATGTGAAATATAGTGCCTGGCATGATAAGTATTCAATAAATGGTAGCTATCAAAATAGCTGAGTTATGATCAATACTCAGTAAACAGTAGTTCCCTTTTTGCTCCCAACCAAAATTTTTACATATGTCCTATTACTTTCAAATAGAAGCTAACTAATTCTAGTAAGCTCATCTGTGCTGCGGGGTGTTAATTAGTAGACCACTTTTACCATGTAATTGTGTGAACTTTACTGATGGTCTTCTGATGCCTTAAGTTTTGGCTCATGAGAATTGCGGAATTGCCTTGCCATCCGATATGAAAATATCAGGTGTGTCTGGGTTTTTTTGTTGTTGTTGTTGGTTGGTTGTTTTTGCATACCGGATGTTGAAGAGTACCCTTGGAAACAAACATGTGAGAGGTGAGAGAAACAGAATTGGGCAGATGAATGAGTTGAGATGCAGTTACAACTGGCCTCAGCTAATTCTGTGGAAACTTCAGAGCTAGAATAGCTTTCTAGATGGCCCATCTTTGTACAAGGTGGCAGGACTTTGTACTCTTGCATTGGACCCGTAATGAGATGCAAGCTGCTCGAATAGGGGACCTTGGACAAGGTGGCTCTCTTCAGCTAATGACACTTCTAGAGAAGGATTTAGCTGGACTCTGTCAATTGCCAATACCCCCAGTAGCTGAAGGAATTCATTCCCAAAGTAGAATCTGGTCAGCACACTGTGGTATCCATTACAGTAGTTTAAAATGGCATCTCATTATTACTGTAATTTGTATTATTTGATATGTCTTTTAACCATATGCATTTCTCCTTTTTGAATTACCTGCATATTTCTTCCTTTTTTCTATATAGATAATATATCATTGAATTGTTATTTTCTTGTCATGTATGTTACAAATATCTTTGGCTTTTATGCAGCTCCTTCTTTATATCATGAGAAGTATGTATTATGATCAGCTGGACTTCAGGTGGTTCTCCACATTGATTATTTTATAATTTGGTTGTAATTTTAATGCGATCCTGAGACAAAGTGAACCCCGCTTTTACCTAGTCTGCTATCTTGACCAAGGTGTGTCTGTTTTAAAGGTACAAAAAAACCCCACAAATAATAAACAAAACACCATTATTTTATTTTCTTCTTCTGTAGTTATGTGCTGCCCATCTCCCAACTGAATCAGAGGCACCAAATCATTATCAGGCAGTATGTCGTGCACTTTTTGCAGAAACAATGGAGCTGCACACCTTTCTGACTAAAATTAAGAGTGCAAAGGAGGTAAGTACTACTGATTTCATATTTATTGGCGTTGTGAAAGATAACATGAATTTTCAAGATTGTCCATCATATTATTTGAAATATTTATTACTGTCCTTCTGATGAGTTCCGAAATTCATTCAAGAAAGATGCAACTTAGGCAAAATATATTTTTAAAAATATGTGTGTAAATATTATAAAATAAAAACTTTCTTCCAGCTTTATTGAAATATAATAGACAATTAGTTGCTTGTATTTACATTGTACAATTCAATGTTTTTCAATTATAGTTGACATACAATAATATATTAGTTTCAGTTGTACAGCATAGTGATTAAAGATCTATATAACTCACAAAATGATTACCCCACTAAATCTAGTACCCCTCTTCTTCATTACATATTTATTATAACATTATTAACTATTTTTCTTATGCTATGCTTTATATCTCCATGTCTATTCTGCAACTATCCATTTGTACTTCTTAATCCCTTTGCCCTTTTTTGCAGTCCCCCTAAACTCCCTCCTATCTAGTAGCCCTCACAATATTCTCTGTATCTATGGGTTTATTTCCATTTTTGATATTGTTGACTCTGTTCTTTAGATTCCACATGTACATGAAATCATGCGATATTTGTCTTTCTCTCTCCAACCCATTTCATTCAGCACAATATCTTCTAGGTCCATCAAAGCAATATCTTTCTCTGTGTGCATCTTTTAATCTGAAGTGAGTCTCTTATAGGCAGCATATGTAGGGGTCTTGTTTTCTTATGCATTCAGCTACTCTATCTTTTGGTTGGAGCACTTAATTCTTTTCATTTGAGGTACTTGTTGATAGGAATGTAATTATTACCATTCTTGATTCCTGTTTTTGATACATGTTTTTTCTTCTTAAAGAAGTCCCTCCAACATTTCATGTAGTAGTAGCTTGGTGTTGATAAATTCCTTTAGCTTATTTTTGTCTGGAAAGTTCTTTATCTGTCCTTCAACTATAAATGATAGCTTTGCTGGATAAAGTATTCTTGGTTGTAGATCCTAGGTTTTTATCATGTGGAATATTTTGTGCCAAGCCCTCTGTCTTGCATATTTTCTTTTGAGAAATCAGCTGCCAGTCTTATGGGTGCTCCTTGTAGGTAACTAACTGCTTTTCTCTTGCTGCTTTTAGGAGTCTTCCTTTGTATTTAACCTTGGTATTTTAATTATGATGTGTCTTGGTGTGGGTCTCTTTGGATTCCTCTTTCTAGGGACTCTCTGAGCTTCCTGGGGTTGTATGTCTATTTCTTTCACCAGGTGAGGGAAGTTTTTTATCATTATTTCTTAAACTAGCTCTTCAATGTCTTGTTTTCCTTCAGGTACCCCTGTAACATGGATATTTTTACATTTAATTGTGTCTCATAGGCTCCTTAAATTACTTTTATAGTCTCAGCTTCTTTTTTCTTGCTGTTCTGATTGAATGTCCTTGGCTTCCTCACCCTTTATATCGGTGGTCCAATCCTCTTCTTTATCCACTCTGTTGATTCTCTCTGATATACTCTTCATCTCAGATAATGTGTTCTTCATTTCTGACTGGTTCCCTTTTATAATTTCCATTTCCATTTTTACATTTTTTATTTCTTTGTTAAAGTTCTGAGTTTATCTACTGTTCCCCTAAGTTCATTGAGCATCTTTATAACCAACGTTTTGAACTCTGCATCTGTGAGATTGTTTGGCCCCATTATTTCTGGATCTCTGTTCTTTTCTCTCATATGGTTTCTGCTTCTTTGTCTTCCCATTTTGGCTGCCCCTCTTTGTCTGTTTCTACGTACTAAGCAAAACTCCTAAGTCTCCCAGTCTTATTAGCATGGCTTTGTGTAGTAGGTGTCCAGTGGCACAGTCCTAAAGAGGGTTCAGCTGCAGGCCAAGTTTAGCCCCAGCCTGTGCCCGTCTGGGGCCACCTGTTAAGATTCAGCCAGAAACCCACAGATACTATGTTTATAGTTGGCTCAAGAAACCATGCCAGAAACCGAGGCCAGCTGCCTCCAGTGTGGGTCTAGGCCCTGCTCAGCAAGGAACACCTGACTCACTGAGGATATACCTGAATGTGGCTTGAGTGGGGCCGAGTTGGGGGAGGCGGGGTTTCAGGGATTCCTCTATGTGGAGCGATCTCTGTTATCCAGTTTGTTGACATCTCAGCTATGGCGGTACTGCCTCCACACACTGGGAGCAGGGAGGTCTCAACAGGGAACAATGGATACTGCCAGCACTTCTGCCTGGGAGAGATCTTCTCCTCTGGTCCTCACTCCAACAACTCAGTGTCCCCGTAAGTCCCTGGTGCCCCTTATGGAGCCGACCCTGCATTGATGGTCAAAGCGAGCAGGTCCGTCACCATGGAAATCCACTCATGGACACGGCCCCTTTAAGAGGTATCTGCCACTGCTGGCTGCTGCTGTAGCCTCTGTTCCACTCAGCCGCTCTGGACCTGGCAGCCTCGTGTCTTCGCCCCCTCCTACCTTCTACCATTGCAGGTTGATTAATTATTTTTCTCCCTAGTTGTAGTGCTTTTGTTCATCTAGATCCCAGGCGATTTTCCTGCTGTTTGCTCCATGTTTTTGCCACAACTTTGATTTGGTTGCAAGAGGGATGAACAAAGCCTCTATCATCTATGCCATTTTTCCCAGAAGCCAAAACAAAGATTTTCATAAAGCATCCTTAGAAATGGTAAATAAAACTGAATTGGCTTAATCAGTTTCCCATATATCCGATTTTCACCCTTTTTCTGACACTTCTCTTTTAAAACATGTTAGTACCTCTTTCAGGAAGGGGTAGGGACTCAGAAAAGGATGATACACATTTGATGAGTTAGCCATTTTATAGTGGATACAATTAAATATTGAATGGAGAAAATGTGAATTAATATTTGGATTATCCAAAATCTTATTTTAGCTATTTTAATGATTATTTATTAGTGTCTATGAGTTAAAATGTTGTATGTAGAATACAAAGAGAATCATTCTAATTTATTTTCTAGTGAGTTGCCATATTTTATATCATACAGAAGATATAGGATCTGTATAGTGAAGATTCATGAGATCTGTGTAAAGCAACACAGCATCTGGCACACAGTAAATGCTTAGTACATGAAAGATAGTGGGCATCATTTCTAAAGTGCAAAGTTTATCTGAAACACTAGTTTAGAACTTGAGATGACACATAGTTTGTGGAGGTACTCATGTAAGATGTGTGAGGGAGGAAGGAAAATACTAACCTATGTTAGTCAAATAAAGCTAACTAGCTCTGGACTCATAGATACAGAGAACAAACTGATGATTGCCAGATGAGAGTGGGGTTGGGAGGCTGGGTGAGAAAGGTAAAGGTATTATAAATTAGTTATGGGGATATAAAGTACAGCATAAGGAATATAGTCAATAATGTAATGACTATATATAGTGCCAGGTGGGTACTAGACTAATTGGGGGGATCACTTTGTAAATTATATAAGTGTCTAACCACTGTGCTGTTTACCTGAAACTAATATAAAATAATACTGAATATCAACTGTAAAAAAAAAAGATGAATTAGCTATGGTAAATAAGTTAAGTTGTCGTAAATAGTTAAGTATGTCAGTCAGATCACGCTTAATCACCTTAAATGAGTGTGTTTTCTATGTATGAAATAGAGCTCTAAGCATTCCTCTTCATTTCTAGTCAGGATACTGCTTATAGTCTACCTTTTTATTATAGACTAGTGAAAAGCTGTTTTTTTTTTCAGGATTTTGTAGAATTGGACCCAAGAGGAAAATCTTCAAACAGAGTGTAAAGGATGAACTATGTTATTTAAAGAATAATAATAAATACATGGACTAGCTTTTCCTCCTGGGCAGAACCAGAGGATGCAGGGTCCAGTTAAAAGTTTCAGAGTAAACATCTGAAAGCACATTCTTAAATAAGATTTAGTGAATAATAGAGAAGATTACTTTTTAAGGTTATAATTATCTTCCCCAGCTTATTAAGACTGAAATTGCTTTATTTCAAGCATTATTTTTTAAATTTATTTAAATGTTTCAAGTATACAGTACATTGGTTAGACATCCATATAGTTCATAAAACGATCTCCCCAATTGCTCCTTCCCTCCCCTGGCCCTCCACCTAGCCATCATATTAATGCTCTTTTGTGCTCCCCATCCCTGTGACCAACTATCAACTACCAATTTGTGCTTCTGTAAGCCTTTACCCTATTTCCTCAGTCCCCCAACCCCCCATACCCTCTATCCGACATCAAATTGTCCACTGTATTTGCGAGTCTGGTTTTGAATAGTTTGTTCTTTTTGTTCCTTTGATTCCTCATATAATGAAATCATACAGTATTTCTCTTTCTCTGTCTCACTTATTTCACTCTGCATAATAACGTTTAGGTCCATCCATGTCATTGCAAATGGTAGGATTTCACTTTTTTAATGGCTGAGTAATATTCCATTGTAAATATGAACCATAATTTCTTTATCCAGTTGTCTGTTGATGTGCATTTAGGTTGCTTCCATATCTTGGCTATTGTAAATTGTGCTGCCATGAATATTGGAGTACATAGATCTTTACGAATTATGGTTTTCATTTTCTTTGGATAAATACCCAGAAGTGCAGTTGCTGGGTCAAAATGTAGATCCATTTTTAATTTTTTGAGAAACCTCCATACTGTTTTCCATAGCGGCTGTACCAATTTGCAATCCCACCAACAATGTATGAGGGTTCCCTTTTCTCCACATCTTCCTCAACACTTGTTGTTTTTTGACTTATTGATGATAGCCATTCTGAGAGGCGTGAGGTGATATCTCATTATGGTTTTAATTTGCATTTCTCTGATGATTAGTGACCTTGAGCATCTTTTCATATGTCTATTAGCCATCTGTATTTCCTCTTTGGAGAAGTATCTGTTCAAGTCTTCTGCTCATTTTTTAATTGGATTGTTTGTTTTTTGTTGTTGTTGTTGCGTTGTATAAGTTCTTTTTATATTTTGGATGTTAACCCCTTGTCAAATGTGTCATTAGC